AGAATCGGGTGGAAAGGGGAGGAAGGGGGCGAGAGCTGTTATTTTGAATGGAGTGGCCATTTAGCAGGTGACATTTCCATCAAGGAGGGGAAGGCATGCAGCAAGGACAGAGGCATTCCGGATAGTCCTCAAGAAAAGGAACAGCATCATACGATTGGCAAAACATAACTATAGTCCACAAAGTAGAAGGAAGAGGAGAGAGAGGGGTGGGGAGAGGGGATATGGGAGAAGGGAGGGTATTTGGGGGAACCTCACCTAAGGTGCATGATGCAGTGGCATATTTCAAAACTATTAAGAAATGAGTATAATTGTGATGGATGTGTTACTTGGTTCAATGTAAGCATTTCATATATATATATATATACACATATATATATTTTTGGCTGGGGCTGGGTTTGAACCCACCACCTCCAGCACATGGGACCAGCGCCCTACCCTTTTGAGCCACAGGCGCCACCCTAAACACTTCATATTGTATATCGAAGCAGTACCCTGAACCCCATAAATGAATCAATGTACAAGGTTATGATTTAATAAAAAATAATGAATTATTAAAAAAAAAAAACAAGAAAAGGAATAGCAAGCAGAGAGATGGGTCTGAGTGGGAGAGTAGCCAGGACTCAAGGAGGCCAGTGTGGCTCCCGGGACAAGACAAAGGGGGGAGGGTGGTTCTAAATGGAATCTGGATCCACAAGAAGCCCTGCTCTGTCTGAAGTTACTTCCTCACCTCCCTCCCTTGTCAGCATGTCAGGAACACCTCCTTAGCCTGAGCTGTAGATGTTGTTGTGGGTGAGATACTGTGTTCCAGTTGTAAGAACGAGACAAACGGTCAGGTTCGACCACCAGTAAGGATAGATGATTCTGCATTAAACAGAAAGATACCATCAGTTTTGGGCGATGTGTGTGGCTCAAAGGAGTAGGGCGCTGGCCCTGTGTACTGGAGGTGGTGGGTTCAAACCCAGCCCAGGCCAAAAAAACCCTGCAAAAAATAAAAAATAAAATAAAATAAAATAAAAAGATACCATCAGTTTTGAAGTCCTCATATCTCAGGGCTCTTGGTGGATCTCCATAGAGGGCCAAGGAGAGCTACAGACAGAACACCAGGTATATTAAACTTGAAACATGTGTACAGAGGATGCCAAAAAAGTGCATACACATTTCGGGTGGCACCTGTGGCAGGTTCAAACCTGGCCCTGCCCCCAAAAAACCCAAAAAAACAAAAAAACAGTGTATACCTATTTTAAGAAAGGATAAAATTGAAATACTCAATATATACTGATAATGTTTTTACCTTGTATATTATATGTTCTATCTCTCATAATTACAGAGTCAAATGTGACTCAAGTATTACAATTTTAATATTATTTTTCCTTTCTAAAAAAGTGTATACATTTTTGGGTCACCCTCTTATTTGTACTTGGAAATAGGAGGACATGAATCAAAATATCAAACAGAGGGGCGGCACCTGTGGCTCAGAGGAGTAGGGCGCTGGCCCCATATGCCGGAGGTGGTGGGTTCAAACCCAGCCCGGGCCAAAAACTGCAAAAAAATAAAAAAAAAAACAGAGTAAAAAGCACCCTAGATATTCAAACAATTGAGAATTTTAGGCATCACTAGACGAACGTCTTCATTTTACAGACAAAAATTCAAAAGAAATTATTTCTCGAGGTAATGGAAGGAGAAAGGACCTCTCTGCCCACTGCTTTAGCTATAGCACAAAGTTTTTTTACCCCCACCGAAAGTTTCAGAATAAGGTTATAGAGAAAGCAAAGAATATATTTTTTTAATTTTTATTATTTCTTTTTGAGATGGAGTCTCCCTATGTTGCCCTTGGTAGAGTGCTGTGGCGTCATAGCTCACAGCAACCTCCTCAAACTCTTGGGCTTAAGCAATTCTCTTGCCTCAGCCTCCCAAGTAACTGGGACTACAGGCGCCTGCCACAATGCCCCGCTATTTTTTGTTGCAGTTGCCATTGTTGTTTAGCTGTCCTGGGCCCGGTTCGAGCCTGCCACCCTCGGTGCATGTGGCTGGTGCCCTCACCACCTCACCACTGTGCTACGGGTACCGAGCCACAAACAGTATTTTAAATAGTGTTTTAAGTTAACTGGTTAACCAAATGTGAAATAAAAATTATGCCCATTTAGAGCACATATTTCAGAGTCAGAGTTCAATCCTTGCAGAATCAGTTACTTTGGGAGGAAATGTCTGGGGGCAGAACCCTGATAGGTACCAGAAATTCCCAAGCTTTAGTTCTTCGTAGACCAATGTCTTCTGTTTGGCTGGGGACAGCGGCGAGTGGAACACAGAAACAGGGTGAAGATGATGTACCCTAATTTTTAATCAAACAGACCTCGAGTCAGATAATATATTGAAAGCAAATTACTGAACTTCAGCATCACATGAATGGGGGTTTAGTCAAATTAAGCTCTTTTTTTAAAAAAAGAAATAAAAGAAGCAGGGTTAGGAATGAGAAGCACATGGAAGGTTGAAAACAAGATTTTACTTGTTTACTTGAAATAACTCTCTAGAGAAAAATAGGATTAAGAACATATGATAATTAAAATGTAAAAAAAAAAAAACCCGATGAGTTAAATATGTAGAAAAGAACATAAGAAAAGCGGAACTCATTCACATTTCAATTCAAAGTCTTTCTCTTGCAGAAGATCTTAAAGTTTGGGATGTAGCAAAGGAAAGCCCGGCCTTTCAATGAAGAATTCAAGTACAGAGCACCACCGTTGTCTCCCACCAGGAAATTTTCTATTGATTTGTAATTTGGCCTTGAATTTGACCTGTGGCCTTCACGTCATGATAATTTGGGTCACTCTGAATATGCCGTCCCTTGAACAAGGGCCTCTGCTAATTTTAAATGAATGCAGCTGCCCATTTGCTATTCTGCTATTTGCATCACAATTGGTGGGAGTAAATTTGCAATTAATAAAACATTTCCAGTAAGCAGTCACACCGAGGAAAGGAAGGACATTTATTTAAGTGTAAGAGAGATATTTCATTTTTCCTTTTTGAAGACAACAAGGGGAAAGAACACAGTTCATGTCTTTGAGAACCTTGGTGGAGGCCAGAATCGTGCCCTGGGCTACAGTCTCTAAGCCATGCAACCTCAAATTAGATTTTAGTTTAAAAGACAAAAAAGTAAAATGAATATAAAAACATTTATACCAGGCCTAAAAATGTTGGCCAGCCTGCCTTCCATCTTTCCTTCCTTCTTTCCTCTCTTTTTGATTCAGTGAAAGTGAATCTTTTCCAAGTTTGATTCCCCAGGAGGGCTTACATTTGAAATTACCTCCACAAAAATTTGGTGGTCAAGCACCTTAGGGCCTTCATCGGAGGCTGCCTTAACTAGTAATATATTGTCCCCTTATAGGGAACCCGAGGTTCCGTGTGTGCGAGGTTCCACGCATGTATACCAGCAAAGTGAAGAATTGGGAAGGCTGGTCCTAAGAGGAATGAGAAAATGAACTTGAAAAAGAAGAAAGTCGGGGAGCCTGAGGAGGAGTCAGAATGTCTTAATACTTTGGGTTATTATTATTATTATTTGAGACAAGGTCTCACTCTGTGGCCTTGAATAGAGTGCGGTGGAGTCCTCATAGCTCACAGCAACCTCAAACTTGTGGGCTCAAGGAATCATCTTGCCTCAGCCTCCTGAGTAGCTGAGACAGGCGCCTGGGACAACGCTTGGCTAGCTTTTCTATTTTGAGGTCAGAAGCGGGTCCTCCTTGCTCAGGCTGGTCTCAAACTCCTTTGAGCTCAAACATTCCACCCACTAGGCCTCCCAGAATTAGGATTATAGGCGTGAGCCACCCTCCCGGGCCTACTTTGCGTTTTTTAGCTTGCCCTTTACACCTTGTAGGAAGTTCCTGCCCCCACTTTCCACCTGTTGAAATTCTCATTCTTCAAGGCCAGAATGAAAAATCATGCACTGGAAGTTTCTAGATCCTCTTAGGATTCAGCTCCCTACTGCAAGACCCAATGGCACTTGCTGCCACCTCTACTGTATTACTAATAATAGATCTAGATGGTTAGGCGGGACCCTGGATGCCACACTCAGGGGTAAATTAAGCTTTAGTTTGTAGTCGATGGGGAGCCATTAAGTTTCTGAGCACTGTTTTAGGAAGGTATCAGCAAAGTTTGACTGAAAAGGCGGTTCAGGTGAGAACCCAAGGGAGGGAGTGCGTGGAATTGCCCTTTCTCTCTCTGTATATTATTATATGCCAGGCATTCCGCCTCCTTATCCCGCTTTACAGACTTAGAAACCACGTTAGTCTGGGACACACCGTGTTCCCACGCAGTCTCTAGGTCCTCACCACTCCCTTTACTCTCTGCAATCTGGGGGTAATTCTTCCCCTGAAATTCTGCCTTTCAGGCTCAGCAAAGGACCTGCTACCCGCCACGTCTAGAAATCGGTCCCTTTGATTCTCACGAACAGTTCTGAGTCCATAGCGTCCTATCCCCAACTTAAGTCTTTCCACAGCTCACAAACTAATTTCACTTCCCGTGCTTGCAGTTTGACATTAGGAAGGCATTTTGATTGTAGAAGCTGAAAAAGAAGCTTAATTAGTTGAGGGTAGCCACGGAGGAGGAGACTCAAAGAGATTCTGCAAGGTATTTTCGAGCGCTGTGGGCTTGAGAGACCAGGGACTCTAGTTCCAAAGACAGCGGTCAAAGCCTGCATGCAGATCTTTCTTTGAACAGCTCTATTCTCATGCATGCATGCCAGGGCTGGGGGTAACTTTTGTTGTTTGTTTATAAAAGAAATCGAGAAAGGGAATGGGGCCCGCCTCTTTTCTGGCCCGAGGGCTGTGGGGCTGGGCGGCGGGATCCCGGGCTGCTCCCCCTCGGCGCGCCCGGAGTCCTGCGGGCGCCCGGGGCACTCCCCCGCTTCTCCGAGGGGCGGGGCGCGCCCAGCGGCCACGCGCGCGGGCGGTGGAGGGGGCGTGTCCCGCGGGCGGCGGCGGCGGCGGCGCGGGCCGGGTGCGCGGCGCTGCGTCCTGTGCTGGAATGTGCGGCTCCCGCGAGCTCGCGGCGCAGCAGCAGAGCGAGCGCCGCCGAGGCCCCGGGCCCCAGACCCCGGCGGCGGCGGCGGCCCAGACGGCTGGGTGAGGGCCGGTGGCCTGAGCACCCTCGGCAGTCGCACTCCTGGGCCTTCGCGGGCCTCCACGGCCCCTGCGCCCAACTTTTCCACCCTCCCCTTTCCCTCCCCTGCAACTCCAGCAACAAAGAAAAGTAGTCGGAGAAGGAGCGGCGACGCCGGGTGGCCCGCCCCACCTCGCCGAGGAAGGCGGGTAAGCGCCCAGCGGGGCCGGGGGTTCGATCGGGGTGGGGGAGGGCCGGCCGGACGGCCGCGGCGGCGGGAGGGGGAGGGCGCGGAAGGACGCGGAGCGAGGCGCTGTCCAGGGCTGATTTGCAGATACTGCGGCTCCGGCGGCGGCCGCCGCGCCGGGCGGGGGCGAGTGGCCGAGCGGGATCGGGTTACACCGCCGCGGCCCAGGGGCTGGGCCGGGGGCGTCGGTGGGGAGCGGCGCGTCGCCGGGACCCCCCTCCCCAGTTGAGGCCGGGCCGCCGCCTCTGCGCGGGCCCGGACGACCCTCCTAAGTCCGGTCCTCTGAGGCCGAAGCGCGGAGCTGCTCGGGGCCCTAGTCCTGAAAGTTCCTCCTCTTCCTCCTTCTGCCCCCAGGTCCCACCGCAGCCCCGCGCCGGCCGCGGCCCTCCCGGCCCCCTCCCCCCGGCCTCTCCCTCTCTCCGGAAGGCGCCGTTGAGTGCGGCCGGGCGGGTTGAGTCAGCCCCGGGGCCCCGGCGGTTCCGCCGGCGGGGCTGGACAGCGATTTCTGCGCTCCGGCCGCGCCGGCGCCGGCGTCCCCGCGCCCGGCCACCCCACTGCGCTGGCTGGCGGGACTGGGGCGCGCGTCCGGCCGGGCGCCGCAGGGGAGTGAAGTTCGCAAACTTCCGGGGCGCGGGGGCGGCGGCTGACCCGCGTGGGGGCTCCGTCCGGCGCTCCGGGCCCGACTCCTCCCGAAGGCGCCCGTGGAGCCTCCCGGCCCTCCGCCGAGGGCGAGCCCGGGGGTGGCGGACGGGCCGGGACGCCGGCTACGCGGTAACTTTCCACCCTGTCCCCAGACTTGTGCCCCCAGGCCGGGGTGGGGGCTGCCTGGACTCGGGAAAGACTCGGTCCGGCCCAACGGCTCCCCGGGTTTGGCCACCTCTCCCGCTTTGGTGCTGGGGAGCCGAGAAGCTGGAAGACGAGTGTCGGGGCAACTCCCGAGAGTTGGTGTGTTAATGTGTGCGGTGAGCGGGCCGAGCCGAGAGGAAGCGAGAGCTCCCGAGTTTGCAAAGAGCTGCTTTGTGTTTGGTATTTTGAGAAAATGGCCGAATGCCTATTTCAGTTAGGAATGCCGCGCCGAGGTAGGCGCTGGTGGCAGCCGCACATAGGAATTCGTGAGCACGTTGGGCTTTCGGGCTGTGCTGGGAAGGTCTTCCGGACAAACGTTAACATTCCTTTAGGGGTGGTAGGATTTGGGGAGGGGGAGTAGAGCAGGCGACGACGGGGTAAATTACCGAGTTGCTGGGCTGTTGAGCTCTAGGAGAGCTTTCACTCTCCGTGTTCTGTGATGGCATTTGATTCCAACTTTTGTTGGTACTTAGAACTAAACCGGTTGGTGTTTTTACACTTGGGTAAAAAGGATTCCTTTTGCATTTTATATCTTTTTAGTACTTGTCACTTATTTTGCTTTTTCTGATCTGCAAGAGAACACCTCGTTTGAGAATAGCACCTTTTCGGTGGTTGGGAAGTTAACGTGGCTAAGACCATTGAAGAAGCCCAGCTTGTTTTCCAAGAAGGTGATCTTGTAATGGCTTCCTCTAGGCAAGTAGGCCAGATCAAGCACAATGCAACAAAATTGCTGATAGTCGAGTTGGGTTGTGCGATTATTGTATTAGGGGGCTTGAAGAAAATTCTTTATTTTTACTTGTGTAAAGTTTTGAGTAAACCAAAACTTCCTTTTCACAGGAAAAGGCGTCCATAATATTTTTTTTCCTCTTAAATTGGGAGTCGTCAAAAAAAGAGAGAGACCACGTTGTATTTTTTCAACAGTAGTTTTTTTCTCTTGAAGTTAGTGGAGTTTGTATGAAATTCAGTTAAGTTGATCAGTTCTTACAGGCTTCTACTTTCCAGGCGTTTCTGGCTTGTGAATTTCTGGGTTTTCTGATTCAGACCGTTGAACTGATGCAGGGGAGGAGGAGTTGGACTACTCATGTATTTAGCGTTAAAAATAATTGTAATTAACCTTAAAAATGAAGGTCGCCTTCCCCCTCCCCCTCCAGAACAATTAAAAATTCTGCATGCCAGCAACAGACCTAGTTGATGAATGAGTTGTCAAACAATTGGCAGAATATTTTCTAGGGATAGTAGACATTTTTTTTGGGGTGATTGCAGTAAAGAGAATGGGAATTAAGAAAAATGTTCTAAAGAGTTGTCACTAGTAGTTAATGAAGCTTATTGAGTTTTAAAGGTTGTACTGAGAAGTTTTTTCTTAAGTTATGAAGAATTATAACGTTGTGTTTAAACTGGTGCTCTTGTGTTTTGTTTTTTTCAAAATTCAGAGTACAGTTATGGCTACCCAGGTAATGGGGCAGTCTTCTGGCGGAGGAGGGCTGTTCACTGGCAGCAGTGGCATCGGCATGGCATTGCCTAACGACATGTATGACTTACACGACCTCTCCAAAGCTGAGCTGGCTGCACCTCAGCTTATCATGCTGGCAAATGTGGCTTTAACTGGGGAAGTAAATGGCAGCTGCTGTGATTACCTGGTGGGTGAAGAAAGACAGATGGCAGAACTGATGCCTGTTGGGGACAACAACTTCTCAGACAGTGATGGGGAAGGACTGGAGGAGTCTCCTGAAATAAAAGGTGAACCCAGTGGACTGGAAAACATGGAACTGAGGAATCTGGAGCTCAGTGTTGTAGAACCTCAGCCTGTATTTGAGGCCTCACCTGCCCCAGAAGTTTACAGCTCAAATAAAGAGCTTCCTTCAGAAACACCCGGAGCAGAGGACAAATGCAAGAACTTGAAGAGCAAACCCTTCCGCTGTAAGCCATGCCAATACGAAGCGGAATCTGAGGAACAGTTTGTACACCACATCAGGGTACACAGTGCCAAGAAATTTTTTGTTGAAGAAAGTGCAGAGAAGCAAGCAAAGGCCAGGGACTCGGGCTCTTCCACTTCAGAAGAGGGAGATTTCTCCAAGGGCCCCATTCGCTGTGACCGCTGTGGCTACAATACCAATCGATACGATCACTATACTGCACACCTGAAACACCACACCAGAGCGGGGGATAACGAGCGAGTGTATAAGTGCATCATTTGTACATACACAACAGTTAGTGAGTATCACTGGAGGAAACACTTGAGGAACCATTTTCCAAGGAAAGTCTACACGTGTGGGAAATGCAACTACTTCTCAGACAGAAAAAACAATTACGTTCAGCATGTCAGAACTCACACAGGTAAGAAAGTTCCGTTCTCGTCTCTCATTGTTAATTGAGTCGTGCTTGGGAAAAGGGGCTCTGAGTCCAGATCCAGGTTCCATTATTTGCTGTCTTTGTGACCTTGGACAAGTTATTTAACTTCTTTGTTGAACCTTCTCCGTGGAGTAACAACATGTGGGATTGGAGGAGTTAAGTGAATTAACATATGTAAAGTGCTGAGTGTCCTTTGAAAGGAACAGCCTAGAGCCATCTAACTGATGCTCTTCTTTTTTTTTTTTGGAGACAGAGTTTCACTCTGTTGCCCTGGGTTGAGTGCTGTGGCATCATAGCTCACAACCTCAAACTCTTGGGTTCAAGTGATCCCCTTGACTCAGCTTCCTGAGTAGGTGAGACTACAGGTGCCCATCACCAGCCTGAATAATTTTTTTTTTTTTTTGAGACAGTGTCACTTTGTTTCCCTCAGTAGAGTGCTGTGCTGTCACAGCTTACAGCAATCTCCAGCTCTTGGGCTCAAGTGGTTCCCTTGCCTCAGCCTCTCCAGTAACTGGAACTACAGATGCTCACCACAACACCCTTCTACTTTTTTTTTTTTTTTTTGAGACAGAGTCTCTCACAATGTCACCCTCCGTAGAGTGCTGTCGCGTCACAGCAAGGTCAAATTCTTGGGCTTAAGCCATTCTCTTGCCTCAGCCTCCCAAGAATCTGGGATTACGGGTGCTTGCCACATCATTTGGTTGTAGTTGTCATTGTTTGGCAGGCCCGGGCTGGATTCAAACCTACCAGCTCTGGTATACGTGGCTGGCGCCCTAGCCACTGAGCTATAGGCGCCGAGCCCACCTGCTATTTTTTAAAGATGGGGTCTTGTGGCTCTGCGCCTGTGGCTCAAGTACCTAAGGCGCCAGCCACATACACCTGATCTGGCAGGTTTGAATCTAGCCTGGCCTGCCAAACAACAATGATGGCTGCAACCAAAAAAAGAGGGAGTCTTGCTTTGGCTCAGGCTGGTTGCAAACTTGTGAGTTCAGGTAATCCACCTGCCTTGGCTTCGCAGAGTGCTGAGATTATAGGTGTGAGCCACTGTGCTGGGCCATCCCAACTAATTTTTCTAGTAGAGACAGGGTACGGGGTCTCACTCTCGATCAGGCTGGTCTTGAACTCCTGAGCTCAAGCAGTCCACCTGCCTTGGCCTCCCAGACTGCTGGGATTACAGGCAGGAGCCACCACACCCTGCCTACCAAAGCTCGTGTAAAGTACATATCCTAACAACTTGAGATAGACCACTTCACTAAGTTAGATTGCTTTGAAGTTTTTAGATATGTTTATCTGACAGGGAGCATACCAAAGGTACAGAATAGTTTCCAGAAGGAACTGAGGGCTTAGATAATAAAGGAAAACCCAATGATAAGCCTTGCTTAGCTCCATTGAACAAAAACTGCAAACTTTCAAACATTTGACTTGTGGCATCGGCTTCCTAAATGGAACAACTTGTCTTTATCCCCAAAACGTAGAAGTGTGAGTTCTTAAAAGATCGGTGGCATTACCACCAGTTGAAACTATTTTCTTAAGAAAGTAAACACACGTGGAAAATGGAACTGCTTTCAGACAGGAAACTATTATGTTCAGCCCGTTGAATGCATGCAGGTAAAAGGACCTTGCTAGTCAGTCCATAGGCATATTTATCCAGAAAATTGACGCTTTCTTAAAAATATGAGACATTTTAAACATTGCAGAAGTGAAGAGAATGCCACAGTGCCTAATATCATACTCTTCACTTGGCACCTGTGGCTCAGTGAGTAGGGCATCGGCCCCATATACCAAGGGTGGTGGGTTCAAACCCCACCCTGGCCAAACTGCAACAACAACAACAAAATAGTCCAGCATTGTTGTGGGCGCCTGTGGTCCCAGCTACCCAGGAGGCTGAGGCAAGAGAATCACCTAAGCCCAAGAGTTGGAGGTTGCTGTGGGCTGTGACGCCATGGCACTCTACCAGGGCGATAAAGTGAGACTATGTCTCTTAAAAAAAAAAGAAAGAAAGAAAGGGGAGGCTATGGGATGCTATTTGCATAGGTCCCCTTCTGCAGGAGTTGGCTCTCCGCAGGACTTGATCCCATAGGTAAAGAAGACCCCTGGCAAAGGCATTGATACTGCTGTGCTTAAGCGGTAGACTTAAAAAACAATGAAACTTACAGGTGAAATTCTATTGTAAGAACTATCTCTAGATTATGACCAGTGGTTTATGTATCGAATGCTTTAAAATCCAGTCGGGTAAAACACTTTGCAGTCCCTTTGGAATTTGTTGTAACCTGTGATTGTCTCCATGTTTTGAAACTAATTGATTTCAGGAATAAAGTTCACACATTAGAAAAGTGCATAGCATTGGAAACAAAGTTGCGTTAATTGTTAGACAAACTGTTAGACCAGAGCTAATTTCACCTACAGTTTTTATTATTTATTTTGACAGAATCTTGCCCTGTAACCTGGGCTAGAGCACAGTGGCTTCATCATAGCTCACTGCAACCTGAAATTCCTGGGGTCAAGCCTTCTGAGTAGCTCAGACTGTGCATACCTGGCTAATTTCTCTTTATATGTGGAGATGGGGTCGTGCTCTTGATCAGGCTGGTCTTGAACTCTGGGCCTCAAGTGATCCTCTAGCCTTAGCCTCTCAAAATGCTAGGATTACAGGCGTGAGCCATCTGCCTGGCCTTCACTTACAAATTCCTTTTTTTCTTTTTCAGAGATATGAGTCTTATTTTGTTGGCCTCAGTAGAGTGCTGTGGTATCATAGCTCACAGCAATCTCCAGCTCTTACCTCAGCCTCCCAAGTAGCTGGGACTACAGGCACTGTAGGTGTCCTGTACTGGAATAGGAACAAATATTTTTCTTGTCATTCCCTAAACAATACAGCATATCAACTTGTGGCATAACATTTACGTTGTATTATGTATTACAAGTACAGTATACGGGAGGGTTTGAGAGGGTTTGTGTAGGTTATATGCAAATGCTATGCAATTTTATATAAGAGACTTGAGCATCAGTAGGTTTTGGTATCCTTAGGAGATCCTGGAACCAATTCCCAAGTAGTCTACCATGGGACTACTATAGACTCACAGCCACCATGCAAGTCAACATACAGAATTTGTACTAGCACCCCAGTGTCTTTGTCTTATTAAATTTGTTAGAGGCCTGGCACGGTGGCTCACACATGTAATCCCAGCATTTGGGAGGCCAAGGTGGGTGGATTGCCTGAACTCAGAGTTTTGAGACCAGCCTGAGCCAGAGCAAGGCCTCTACTCTAAATAGCTGGGTGTCGTGGCAGGTGCCTGTAGTCCCAGCTACTTGGGAGGCTAAGGCAAGAGAATTGCTGAAGTTCAGGAGTATGAGGTTGCTATGAGCTGTGATGCCAAGGCACTCTACAGTGTGTGACAAAGTGAGACCGTGTCTCAGAAAATAAAATAATTTTTTTGTCACTTTGGTACAATTTTTATTTTTTAGTTTTTTAGAGACAGAGTCTCACTTTGTTGCCCTCAGTAGAGTGGTATGGCGTCACAGCTCACAGCAACCTCCAACTCTTGGGCTTAGGCGATTCTCTTGCCTCAGCCTCCCGAGTAGCTGGGACTACAGGTCTCCAACATGCAGCTATTATTTTGTTGCAGTTTGGCTGGGACTGGGTTTGAAACCACCACCCTCGGTATATGGAGCTGGCACCCCACTCACTGAGCTGCAGGCGCCACCCATAATTTTTTTAAGATATGAGGTCTGCCTATTTCCCAGGTTGGTCTTGAACTCCTGGGCTCACACAGCCCTGTTTCAGCCTGCTGTGTAGCTGGGATCCCTGGCTGGTCAGGTGTATGTCTCAGAACTGTTGGGTTGCTGAACAACATAACAGCTTTCTCAAGAAACTGAGAATGTTTTTAATAGTAAATTTAAATTTGTTGATTTAAAGAACATTTTTCGAAGGAACAATGGAAAATGGAGGGAACAGGGAAAATTTCACTGTTGTATGTATTTCTGGTTTTAATGTAAAGGGTTTTTATTTTTGCCGGGTACTGTGGCTCACCCCTGTAATCCCAGCACCGTGGGAGGCTGAGGCAGGAGGATTGCTTGAGCTCAGGAGTTTGAGACTTGACTGAGTGAGAGTGAGACCCTGACTCATAAAAAAAAAAAAGAAAAAAGAAAAACGAAAAACCCAGCCAGGCACTGTGATGAGTGGCTTCTGGCAGCTGAGACAGGTGAATCCCTTGAGCTTAGAAGTTCAAGACTAGCTTGAGTAAAAAGCAAGATGCGCCTGTTTCTAAAAATAAAACTAGCTGAGCATTGTGGTAGACTCCTATAGTCCCAGCTACTTGGGAGGCTGAGTTTGAAGTTGCTTTGAGCTAGGATGCTATGGCACTCAACCAAGGCAACAGAGTGAGACTCTTGTCTCAGAAAAAAAAAAATTAAGAAAAAATGTTTTAGAGTGGTTAATGTCTTAGTTAAGAAACTAATTTTTGGGGGCAGCGCCTGTGGCTCAAAGGAGTAGGGTACTGGCCCCATATGCCGGAGGTGGCAGGTTCAAACCCAGCCCTGGCCAAAAACTGCAAAAAAATCCCCCCAAAACAATAATTTTTAATGGTCAGGTTTTATGTATGTAACTATATCATACATTATTCCTCTCTTTTAAGGTTTATATATAATATTTTATTCCCCTTTTTGTTTCTTTGCCACTTGTTCCAGGATAAAGCTGATATTAACGCACAATAAGGTTATTATATTACATAGCTAACATTAGTTGTATCTCACTTTATATTTTAATGTTAAATGTATTTTTTCTTCTTATTATAATTAGAAACAATTTCACTCTGTTGTCTCAGCTAGAGTGCTGTGGCATCATTGTAGCTCACTGTACCCTCAACTCCTGGGCTGAAAGGATGTTCCTACTTCAACCTTCTGATTTCCTCTGCTTCTCCTTCTGAAGCAGCTGAGCTGAGATGACACCACGGTACCCCTACCCAGGGTGACAGAGTGAGACTGTCTCAAAAACAAACAAACAGAAATTAAAATTGTTGTGGGGTGGGGGAACTGGAGATTACTTTTATTTAAGTTGGCCTCTTAATTTTTTGGTTTTGTTTTTTAACCAGAGGACAAATTTTAAATTTAAAAGAAAACATTTTTTTTTTTTTTTTTTTTTTTGAGACAGAGCCTCAAGCTGTCCCCCTGGGTAGAGTGCCCTGGCATTACAGCTCACAGCAACCTCCAACTCCTGGGCTCAAGCGAGTCTCTTGCCTCGGCCTCCCAAGTAGCTGGGACCACAGGCGCCCGCCACAACGCCCGGCTATTTTTTTTTTGGTTGCAGCCGTCATTGTTGTTTGGCGGGTCCGGGCTGGGGATTCGAACTCGCCACCTTAGGTGTACGTGGCTGGCGCCTTAGCCGGTTGAGCTATAGGCGCCGAGCCAAGAAAACATTTTTGCTTATAAGTATAACTGAAAAATTAGTGCATGGTGTTCTATAACACCTTTATTGAAATAAATTTTATTTATTTATTTATTTATTTGCAGTTTTTGGCCGGGGCTGGATTTGAACTCACCACCTCCAGCATATGGGGCCAGTGCCCTACCCTTTTGAGCCACAGGTGCCGCCCTTGAAATAAATTTATATGCCATATAAATGCCTGATAGGGACATTTCATATAAAAGGAATCATAAAATAGGCAATCCTCCGAGACAGAGCCTCAAGCTATTCCCCTGGGTAGAGTGCCATGGCTTCACAGCTCACAGCAACCTCCAACTCCTGGGCTCAAGCGAGTTTCCTGCCTCTGCCTTCCAAGTAGCTGGGACCACAGGTGCCTGCCACAACGCCCGGCTACTTTTTGGTTGCAGCCATCGTTGTTTGGCGGGTCCCGGCTGAATTTGAACCCAGCACCTTAGGTGTATGTGGCTGGCGCCTTAGCCACTTGAGCCACAGGTGCCTAGCCCTACTTTTTTTTTTTTTTTTTTTTAAGAGAAAGTCACTTTATCACCCCTGATAGAGAGCTGTGGTGTCTTAGCTCACAGCAACCTCAAACTCTAGGGCTCATAGCTCACAGCAACCTCAAACTCTAGGGCTCAAGCCATCTTCTTGCTTCAGGTTTTCATTTTTAGTAGAGATGGGGTCTCACTCCTGCTCAGGCTGGTCTCGAACTTGTGACCTCAATCTATCCACCTGCCTTAGCCTTCCAGAGTGGTAGGCTTACAGTGAGCCGCTGTGCCGGACCCTTTCTTTTGATTACTATCATGTTTTCAAAGTTCATGTATAGTGTCATATGCCCAGTATTTGTTTTCCTTTTATTGCCAGATAATAATCTCTTATATAGATATATAACATATTATTTATATATTCAGTAGTTCATGGATGTTTGGATTCTATTCACTTTTTAGCTATTTAGGAATAATGCTGCTATGAACATTTGTTTAAGTTGTTATGTGGACATATGTTAGTTTCTGTTGAGTATGTACCTAGGAGTGGAATTGCAGGGCTGTATGCTAACTGTTTTTACTGAGGTTTAACTTTTGGGTAACTGCCAAGCTGTTTTTACAGTCCCAGCAAGGTATGATTATTCCAATTTCTCCATATGTTAACTCAACCAATACTGTCAACATCTGTCCTGATTAGAGCCATCCTAGTGGGGATGAAGTCTTCATCTCATTGTGGTTTTGATTTGTATTTATTTCCCTTGTGGTTAATGATAATGTGCATCTTTTCATGGGCATATCATCTATTTGTGTATCTTCTTTTTTTTTTTTTTTTTTTTTTTTTTTGAGACAGAGCCTCAAGCTGTCCCCCTGGGTAGAGTGCCGTGGCATTACAGCTCACAGCA